AAGTGACCCACAAGAGTTAAGTTCCATTGGAGTCTTCAGTTAAAAGTCTGGTACTACACACATGAACCGGCCACTCGTACTTACGATAAGAAGATTACATCTTTTAAGCCCAAATCAACATTTATGCCATGTGCATCTAATCCAACGTTGAATTCCTTCTACAAAAAAGTAACGTATGAAATTGACAAGATTTTCGCCTCAACAAGATGAAAATACTATAATCTTTCAAAAGAAGAAGTAGTGGCATTGAACTGGCTTTCCAATAATGAAGATCTTGTAATAAAAAGAGCGGATAAGGGAGGCGGAGTTGTTGTATGGGGCAGAGATCAGTACATCAAAGAAGCCTTTAGACAACTACTATCAGCGCCTGAAATTTAATCCAATAGAAAGAATTAAAAATGAATTGACTGACATTTTATTACATGCTGAAAATGAGGGATGGATTTCAAAAAATGAACGTGATTTTCTATTTTGTAAAGATCCTAGGATTCCTACTTTTTATATGCTTCCAAAAGTACACAAAAATCTTGAAAACCCACCAGGGAGACCTATAATTAGTGGTAATGGGTCTATTACAGAGCCGGCTTCAAAATGTGTGGATTATTTGATTAAACCATTGGTTAGTGAACTCCCCTCGTTCATTCAAGATACAACTCATGTATTGAATATCGTTAAAGAAATGAAAACTACAGAATCGTCTATACTGGTGACTATGGATGTTGAATCATTGTATACGAATATAGACCATAAAGATGGGCTGGAAGCATTATCATACTATTTAGATATGAGATCATCTACTGAAAGGCCACCGGCATGTTTTATTATGCAATTAGCAGAATGGACATTAAATAACAACTTCTTTCTCTTTCAAGATGTATTCTATAAACAAATTAAAGGTACAGCAATGGGTGCCTGTTTTGCCCCAAATTATGCAAATTCGTTTTTTAGGATTTTGGGAAAATACATTTGTATTTTCTGATTCAAATCCATATTTGGTGGGGGTAGATATATAGATGATATAATTTTGATATGGACAGCTTCAGAAGCTGATCTGTTAGTCTTTCATTCATACTTAAATAATTAAGTATGAATGAAAACATACATTTTTTTTAAATCATTTATTAATTGCAATACCTCATTTGTAGTGTATCGGTTAGAGTGTCCATGTGGTTGTTTCTATATAGGGACGACTACAAGGAAATTAAAGATCAGATTAGCAGAACATAAGAATGCCATTCGAGTTTGTAACCCTTTGTATCCTATGGCCCTTCATTATAAAGAGAGAAATCATGGTAGCTCAAGTACATTGAAGATAATCGGAATTGAACATGTCCCCAGGTCAATAAGGGGAGGTGATAGAGTCAATAGGCTTTTACAGAGAGAGTCTTTTTGGATCTATGGATAAGATTCGAGTGCCTTGGACTACTATTATTCTTACATAATGTTAGGTATAATAATCATGGAGGAAAACGTGAGCAGTCAGGCTTGATAGGACTTTTACAGAATTGAGGAAGAGAGCTGCTTTTTTTCCACATTGTGACAGTTAAACATAAAATCTGTGATCCGTATGATTTCCTTTTGTTAAATACGACCACCAAATATCTTGTGTTTCCATTTTAAGTCTGCAGAAAACCTTTATACTGCCTTTTACATCTGGGAAATTGTATTACAGATAAGGCAGTGGCTTTTTTAAAGGTCACAAATTTTAGTGGAAAATTAATAGGAAACAATCACGTACTTAAAAGTCATATTTTGTTCCCTTTGCATTTTATAACAGTAATTGCTCATATAAAATGGATAGTTGCAATCATCGATGCTGGTTGGCCAATACAGTCAATAAATAAATAAAGAAACAAACAGATTTGAGACTTATTTAAAAATAAGACAACCAATCATGAACACCTCTGTGTTTTATTATATTAAATATTCATGTGGTATTCATTGTGACCTGTAAACTGCAGATTTGTCTATATTTTCCCCTTCATTTACACTTTATCCCAGCGATCAGTGCACTGAATGTCACTTTGGATAAAAAGGATCTCTTAAATGACAAGTGACCTGTGTTCACATTCATGAACACCACATTTAAGGCATTCAGGAATCATAGCATCAGGATTAATGGGGTGCATGGGGACCCCGTATAGATTCCCTAAAATTATTCATTTGAGACCGCCAGGCTGAATGCTACCATGGTTGTCTGGCACCTTGTGTGTTCTGGACCTGTTTCACATATTCCTGAAGAGGACGTGCTCCATCACTGACTCCAGTGGTACCAAGTTTCCAAAAAGTAAACTTGGTACTGCTGGTACTAAATACAAAGTATCCAAATCATTTCATTTTTTGCAGTCTGAGTACTTTAAAACCACATTTGTTTTAAAGGAATAGTTCGCCTAAAAATGAAAACTTGCTGAAAATGTACGCACCTTCAGCTAGGCCATCCAAGATGAGTTTGTTTCTTCTTCAGATTTGGAGAAATGCAGCACTACATCACCGTCTCAGCAATGGATGCTCTGCAGTGAATGGGTGCCGTCAGAATGAGAGTCCAAACAGCTGATAAAAACATCACAATAATCCACAAGTAATCCACACCACTCCAGTCCAACAGTTAATGTCTTGTGAAGAGAAAAGCAGCGTGTTTGTAAGAAAATAAATCCATCATTATGACGTTTTAACTTGGCTAAAATATTTATTACTTAAGTCCATAATCCATAATAACGCTGCCTCCAGTGATAAAGTCCATCTCCTGTTGTCTCTCACATCAAAATCCACACACATATTTGTTTAGAGCTGTTTTGGCTTGTAAACAGTGCTTGAACTGTGCAGATTTCTCTCCTGATTCAGATGAGACTTTGTCACTGGAGGAAACATTATTTTGAATTATGAACTCGTATTTTAGCTGCAAGCTAAATTTTTAATTTAAAAACGTCTTACTGACAGATCTGTTTCTTACAAACACACAGCTTTTGGCTTCTCCAGATGTTAACTGATGGACTGGAGTGGTGGTCATTGATATAATGAACGGTAACCTATGACGCAGCCACCCAACGGAGAAACTGGCAAAGCTAACGCACGCGAGGGGAGGGGAGGGGAGGGGGGTGGGTGTCACATCGGCTATAAAACCCTGAGCCGAAACTGCACTGAGAAAGAGTTGAGCTCGACACCTCTGGGAGTAAATGAAGGTCGCGTTCTCTCCGTAAGACGTATTTAAACGACTGCCCTTCTCCACTGACATCCAGCGCACTGAAGCAGCATCACGATGATCATCTCGCATTTGGTGGCTTGTGGACTTATTCTGACTCTTCTATCAGTCAGCACGGAGACAAAACCACTAACGCAGGCAGAACAGAGGGTGAGCTTGATACTTAGACATGTATGCAACTAATTTTACAGCTTGTGTAACATATAGTAGGGTATTTTAGCTGCAAGCTAAATTTTTAATTTAAAAACGTCTTACTGACAGATCTGTTTCTTACAAACACACAGCTTTTGGCTTCTCCAGATGTTAACTGATGGACTGGAGTGGTGTGGATTGCTTGTGGATTATTGTGATGTGTTTATCAGCTGTTTGGACTCTCATTCTGACGGCACCCATTCACTGCAGAGCATCCATTGCTGAGACACTGATGCAATGCTACATTTCTACAAACCTGATGAAGAAACAAACTCATCCTAATCTTGGATGGCTTGAAGATGAATACATTTTCAGCTAATTTACATTTTTGGGTGAACTGTTCCTTTAAAGATGGTTTGAAATCAGATCTTTGTAAATGTATGTTTGAAGTACATTTTCATTCAGCGTGCAACAGCTTAACATCAGGGACCCCTAGTGAGCTGCACAGTTAGCTGTAGCGTTTGAAAATTTAGTCACAAATGAGATTTATTGCCAGTAAAAATTGAATATCAGGCAATGAGTATGTTTCCTTGCTACTAAAGTGAACAGTCTGGAAGGGGAATGATCCTGTGTAAATTGCAGTATGCATAACGCATCATAAATGCGTCATCATTTGTGCATGATTTAATTTCTTTCAGCTACATTTAAAAATGAAAACAATTCCGAAAAAGAGAGATCGCAAAAAATAGCAAGATTTTTTATTTTTTTTTATTGTTGGGCCAGTGTGACAACTTCTCCCAAACGTGAGAACACATTCATCTTGAAGTATCCTGAAGTGTAATTATAACTGAGCATTCATTCAAAGCACTGCAGCTACAGCAAGAGTATGAGTACTGATTTTAAAATCCTTATTTGTAAATGGTTATCCTATGTCTCTGCAAACTGAAAGCTGATGAACTGGTGCGCAGGCTGCTGAAAGCATTTCAATCAGCATATACTGCCACACAGTGTCACGACTCAGAAAGTGTAGAGCAGAAAAAGTGATTCTCACTTCTGCCTTTATCTTTGCTCGCATATATCCAGTATGTTATTGATGAATATGTTTTATTTTTTAGCTCCAGCTGACATTTTAGTGTCAGATACACATAGCATATGTAATGCAATGTCATTTTAAAAAGTGTTTTATTTATTTGATAATTATTTATATGTGTATAATGTCAATATGCAAATCAAATAATTCTTGCTTTTGCTTAGTTTTTTTTTTTTACATTTGTTAAATCTAACACGACTTCCAGGACTTCGCATATGGCATTAAAACTCAATTTTAGTCATTTTACTTCTCCAACTAAATCCTGTCCGGTGATGGTTATCATGAATGATTTCGCTTGTGATTGTTCTTTTCCCACCTATATACTTAAGTGGTCACTGCAAACGATGACTAAACTGAACATCCAGCATAAACATCCTCTGATCAGTAACAAAAACTCCGTATAGGTCATTGATATAATGAACGGTAACCTATGACGCAGCCACCCAACGGAGAAACTGGCAAAGCTAACGCACGCGAGGGGAGGGGAGGGGAGGGGGGTGGGTGTCACATCGGCTATAAAACCCTGAGCCGAAACTGCACTGAGAAAGAGTTGAGCTCGACACCTCTGGGAGTAAATGAAGGTCGCGTTCTCTCCGTAAGACGTATTTAAACGACTGCCCTTCTCCACTGACATCCAGCGCACTGAAGCAGCATCACGATGATCATCTCGCATTTGGTGGCTTGTGGACTTATTCTGACTCTTCTATCAGTCAGCACGGAGACAAAACCACTAACGCAGGCAGAACAGAGGGTGAGCTTGATACTTAGACATGTATGCAACTAATTTTACAGCTTGTGTAACATATAGTAGGCTGAAACAAAGTCTAAAGTATGTATGATGCACAGTTTGATATTTAAAAGTTAATATAAGGTCATTTTAACTTGGGTGAAAGATGCGCAAAAGCTCGGATATGCAGGTGCGCGCAATGCATGCGTGAAACTACGAGTGTGTAAATAAACAAACATCATCTCAAGTTCAAAATGGACTTTTTTGCTATTCATCTGTATGTCCCTCTCCTCCTCCTCATCATGCAAACGCGATTTGAGAGCATCGTTAAAGCGCAGGCGCTCCAGGAGACTCGGACACTTGTCCGGACGCAAGACTTCTTGAGCAAAACTTTTGAGTCATTCATTGTTGAGGCTTATATTTCAACAGGTTCTCGTTCTCAAATAAGTACATTAAAAAACGCGTTTTTCACACGCGTTGCGTATGGCTTACTTATATATAAAACATGAATTAATAAATTTGAGCTCTCTCTAAACGTTTACGTATGTTAAACATACATTTAAATTCCATAAATCTCCTATATATAGCGATAACAGATACACTGTGACATAAAACAAATACACTATAAATAGAAATAAAGTAGTATGACCTGAGGACTTCTGAGCCTGTTACTGAAGAAGTGAGTCAGGCGTTACACTTTAACATTTACAAACGGCTTCCTTAACAGGTCTTTATTGATATTAATAGATTAATTTAGAAGCTGAAGAACCATTTCGTGCTGAAATGAGACTTTGTGGAAGAGTTTAAGAGCTCAGATTGGATCGGGCTGTTTTGTCAGGTAAACTAAACATGTGGAAACTAGTTTATTCAAGTCAGAAATCTTGTTTAATATTAATAAAACCTCAAATCTATAAAATCTCATTTTAAGAGTCAGATCAGGTAGAAATATCTCTTTTAGGTAACAGTTTAGATTTTTACAGTGAACATATATATATATAGACAAAAAACTGGATGTTTAGCAAGTGAAATTGAGTAGTAATAGTGCATTTTGAGTTCTGAGAGCTGTTTTTCTGAGTGCTGGTGAGAGTATTGAGAGCGTTTCTGAAGTGCTGCATCCATGTATCCCTCAGTCCCTGCGGATGCTGTTGGGAGAGGAGCTGTCTGAGTTCCTGGTGTCCGATGAGAGCCAGAGGAGGATGGAGAACCGAGTTCGTCTGCTCCGGGACCTGCGCATGGACACTCGGGCCAAGGGCCCCTGGGCTCGCATCCTGAACGAGCAGCCCGGGTCACGCAGACACAAAGCTGGATCTAAGAAGGGAGGAACGACGGCCAGGAGCGGATGCTTCGGACACAAGATGGACAGGATAGGAACCATGAGCGGGATGGGCTGTCAACCCTCTCATTACCCGTCTGCAAATAATCTCTCCTGGTGAGTGTCTGCGGAGATCTCAGTCTTAGACATGTGTAGATATACAGTTTTTAGAAATTGCATGTATTTGTTTTTATTAATTTTAATTTAATGAATTAAATGTTATTTTATTAATATTAATGACATTTAATTACATTTATTTATGTGTGTGTATATATATATATATATATATATATATATATATATATAGTATTTGTAGAGATCTTAATCTAAATGTATTTATTTAATTATTTATTGAGTATCTGTAGAGATCTAAATCAGGATTTTTGTTTTCTTTGTGGGTAAACTCTTTGGAAATTACAATTAGTTTCTAAAAATAAAAAAGCACACATTTTTTAACTAATGTTAATATAAAATTAATTATTATTCATAATGTAAATATATGTAAATATTATTTTTGAGGGGTATCTAAATTTGAGGCTAATTAGGCTAATCTAAAAAAATTTTTTATTAATTTGATTAAATTAATATATTTTATATATATTTGTGTTTATATGATTGAATTATCACATATATTGTGTCTGTAGCAATCTAAATCTTTATTATTATATTTGTATATATATATATATATATATATATATATAATTTTTGAAGTGTCTGTCGATCGAAATCTGAGATATTTGTAGGTATACTTTTTTGGAAATTTCATTAAAGCAAATTGATTGCACTATCTATCTATCTATCTATCTATCTAACTGTCTGTCTGTCTGTCGATCGAAATCTGAGATATTTGTAGGTATACTTTTTTGGAAATTTCATTAAAGCAAATTGATTGCATTTTTTTTTTTTTTAATATGTATAAAATTGTGTGTGTGTGTGTTGCATATTACCTTTTTTGTGCCCCTATGTATATGACATTTATCATGTGATATGTTAAACACTCACTAAATTCCCGATTATAACTGAGTTTCTTGATGCAAAAGGCTTCACATGAGATTATAACAGGTGTTGTATGATTGCAGGGAGCTTCATTGTGTTAAACTTGATTTGACCTCTGCAGTGGGTTTAATGGGTTTGGAGTGTGTAAGTGTCCTGGAGAACTAACTACGGAGCAGACAGATTTCGTTTGAGTGCCAAACTGATGAGAAGAGTGTTTGACTGTGTGATGCAGGACTGTCGTCAAAGAATCTGACGCGACACGTGTCTACATCCATCTGACTACATGTCCTCTTTTTTCAGAGCGAATCACGGACGTCATCGATTTTGGACAGAACAGACTTGCTCCTCTTCTGAGGAAAAACCTAGAGAATCGGACTCATGGTACGAAGCCACTACGAGAAGCATCTGTGGGGACAATGAAGTGTACAAATGAAATAAAATAATTAGATGACATATATGTACAAAATAAAAGAAACACATGGCGGATGACGTGGATAAAAGCTGTATATTGTTGCTGCTGCTGTACATTCATGTATTTCATTCTCGCATAAATGTATTTATGTTTTAAAAACTATTTATATGTTTATAAAAGAGATATTTATAAATATGAGTTTATTTATGTAACATTTTGAAATGAATGCAAACTGCAGGTCAATTCTGTTTGTAACTATTTTGTCTCTAATAGCTGTAAATGTTTTAAAAATCATTAAAAATGCACAAATGCAAAAAATAAAGCGCATCACAAAAGTTTTTAACGTTTTTACAATTTAATTTTGTGCAAATTATGATGAAAATTTATTATTTATATATATATATAAACATTTTTCATCAATATTTTTGACTTCAATATTAAACTAAAATAATATTATTTGACTTAAATAGTAAACTTTCAGTAAAAATAACAAAACATCCATAAAACAAGATCAATTTATCACTATTGTGTAATTGTGCAAAACAATACAACATATTTCTTTCTGCATTATATCAAGCGATATTTATTTTTACAATTCACTTAATTCAACGTGAATTCTCTGAGAACAATAAATAAATTCTCTTTAGAGATAAATACAGTAAATATATCTTGTTTTGAGGATTTTTGGATATTTCTACTTCAAAATCGGGACAATAAAAAAGAGATTTTCTCTTAGAAAAGCGAGTGAGTAAAAAAGCCTATACTGAATATTTCATTAATAAATCTGCTGTAATGAATAAGCGGGGACATGAGAGAGCAGTCTGTTCAGATGAATCTCTCAAACATTAGGCAAGCATTTAGCAGAATTTGAACTGAAATGGCAAAAAGGAGTCCAAGAACATTAAGTTTGACACACTAAGTGGGCAAAACAGCAGATTTATTACAATTAATTAGTGCTGTATATATTTATAGAGTGCTTTTAAAGGAGAATTACACAGAGAAGAAAAAACGGTGTTTTGTCCTTGAAAGCCGATTTTCAATGACTCACGCTGGCTCATTTGGGTCTATATATATATATTGCAAAAGAAGAGACACTGTGACAGATAACCTCACTCCAGTTAAACAAATGACAAGAAACACGATATCTGACCATTGAACTTACCAGAGAAACTGGGAGAACGACAGCTTGTTCAGACTTAAAGCACACAGAAACTAAATAAATAGCTATATATACTGATATAAAACTATTTATTTTTGTAATTATATGATCAACACTGGATCATTTTTACACCCCGGCCATTTAAATTATTACACTTTCTGACTCATTTCTGTGAGGTCATTGAAAAGGAAAGAAAAGAAAAGAAAAGAAAAGAAAAAACATTCACGAGTTTGGAGTCAGTAAGATTAAAATAAAATATATCAGTTCATCATTTATTTGATCAAGAATACAGTAAAAACTGTTAAATATTTTTACAACTTAAAACAACTCTTTTCTATGTGAATATATTGTAAAATGTAATTTATTTCTGTGATTCAAAGCTGAATTTTCAGCATCATTACTCCAGTCTTCAGTGTCACATGATCCTTCAGAAATCATTCTAATATACTGATATTAGTATAATAATATTATGCTAATATTTTCAGTATTGAAATTGTAACAATGTTTTTGTGGAAATACATTTTTTCCAGAATTATATGATGAATATAAAGTTTAAAATAACAGCATTTACTTGAAATAGATTTTGTTAAATATAAATGTCCTTATTGTCATTTTTTGATCAATTGGGTGCATTTTTGGTGAATAAAAAATATTAATTTCTTTTTTTTTCTTTTTTTACTTACTGACCCTAATGTTTAGTGTATATATCAAATTGATTATTAAAAAATATATATTATAAATTAGAAAATAATTCAAATGAATTCGATTTTATTCATATTCATCATGACTTCGACATTTTTGTCCAAACCCATGCAGAAAACAAATAAACCATATCCAGAAAACATGACCTGGGGAAAACTAAATTAATGATTAAAAAATAAAATAAAGACTAAACTTTCCACCTAAGAATAATAGTACAGAATATGAAGAAATGCGTGTTTGGTCTGAAGTCGCAGTACCCCTAATAGCCTGCAGGCGGTCACTGCCACAGAGCTGCACCTTCAACATGCTTCAACTGCCGTTTAACATGCAATGATGCCATCTTGTGGCCGCTGATAATCTCCTGTAAAAGATTCCTGTTGCATAAGAGGAGACGATGGGAGAACTGAAGGCATGGATGAGATGAGTCAGATTTCAGAATGAACATCTTACATGCTCTGTTTACAGGGGTTTACAGACTTCTCTTACGTCTTGTCTTTGTCTTAGGTTAGTAGCGTACTTGCATTGTCTCATAGGCCAGAGTTGTCAAATTCATTCACTGGACAAAAGCGTCGCCTTATTAAGGTACAATTTCTTATTTGTTACACCTTACTTCACCTATTACTGTAAAAGGATAGTTCAGCTAAAATGAAAATGTTGTCATCGTTTACTCACCCTCACATTGTTCCAAAACTGAATGAGTTTCTTTCTTCTGTGGAGCATAAAAGAAGTTATTTTGTTTTGTTAGTGACCAAACAATTTTGGTTACTATTGATTTCCATTATGGACATTGTATTTCTCAGAATTTCTTATTTTATGTTCCATGGAAGAAAGAAAGTCCTTTGTGAGGTATGGAAGCTTGTTTCTGCTATAAAGTAAGATGTCTCAACTCAACTCAACCTCTATTTATAAAGCACTTTCAAAAACATAAAAATGGACCAAAAGTGCTGTACACAAGCAGTATATAGTAAAGATAAAAAAACATAAAACATTAAAACATAGGAACAAAACTAAATAAAAGACAAGTCATTCGCAATTGTCCTGACCAATCAAATCCCGAAAGCCTAATAAAACAAGTAAGTCTTTAAGTACTTTTTAAAAATATCTATGCTTGATGAAGATTTTACAGATAATGGCAGAGCATTCCAAAGTGCTGGAGCCGCAACAGAAAAAGCACGATCTCCACTCCGCCTCAGACGAGACCGTGGGACTGTCAAAAGCAAGCTCTGAGAGGAGCGCAATAGTCGATGCGATTGGTAAGGGACCAACGTCTCCCTTATGTACTCAGGAGCCTGATCATGCAGAGCTTTATACACAAATATCAACAACTTGCATTGCATTCGATATTTTACAGGAAGTCAGTGCAAAGATACCAAGAGAGGTGTTATATGATCCCGTTTTCTAGTTTTAGTTAAAAGTCTTGCTGCAGCATTCTGAACATACTGAAGACGCATAACCAGAGACTTACTTATTCCAAAGTATAAAGCATTACAATAGTCCAACCGCGTTGAAATAAAAGCATGTATAACAGACTCTAAATCCTTGTTCGAAAGAATAGTTTTCAGTTTGGACAATTTCCTTTACTGAAAAAAGGATGTTTTCACAACATCGTTTACTTGTCGGCCAAGATGGATTTTGGAATCAGTAATTACTCCCAAGTTCCTCACATAACCACATAGATCATTGGACAATAGTCCCTGGCTTCTGACCATACCTTTCTGAAACTGCTTGTTACCAAATATAATAAACTCACTCTTATCTTCATTTAATTGAAGAAAATTATTTGCAAACCAAGTCTAATTATTTGCAAACCAACCTCTGCCAAGCACTTGCAAAGGTTTGTTAAAGAAAAACAACCGTCAAGCTCTAAATGAAAATAAATGTGCAAATCAACATGAATACAGATGATAATCAACATTGTATTTTCTAAAAATTGACCCCAGTGGCAGCATATATAAAGAAAACAAAGTTGGACCAATAATAGATCCCTGTGGGACCCCACAGGAGAAAGTAGCAGATGTAGACACATGATTTCCAATTTTAACAGAACAAGTCCTATCCTGCAAATAAGAAGAAAACCACTTAAGTGCAACACCATTAATTCCAACATAATCTCTAAGACGTTCTATTAAAACAGCATGATCTATAGTGTCAAAAGCAGCGCTCAAGTCTAACATCATTAGGGCAACACCCTTTCCGGAGTCAATACTCAAAAATATATCATTAAAAACCTTGAGCAGCGCTGATTCTGTACTGTGCTTGGTCCGAAATCCAGACTGAAAGGCATCCATTATATTATTCTTAGTCAGAAAATCAACAAGTTGATTATGAACACTTTTTCCAAGATCTTGTTCACAAAAGATCATTTTGAAATGGGCCTAAAATGTTTCAAATCCTGTTGATCCAGATTTGCCTTTTTTAAAACTTGTTCAATAGTTGCTTGCTTAAAGCCTAGTGGCACACATCCAAAAAATAAACTACTATTAATAATTCTTAAAACACTAGGGCCAATAGTGTCTATGACTTCTTTAAACAGTCGTGCCGGGAGAACATCATAACAAGAGATAGTTGATTTTAATTGTAGTACTATCAACCGGGCTAAAGAAATATGTTCAAAGTTACTCAAACAGTGAGAAAATATCCTTACATTTACTGTAAGATTTCCTAAAGGCAAAATGTTAGACCGAATAGCATCAATTTGACCAATGAATTACTTTAAAAAACTCTCACAAAGATTCTTATATGGAGTAGGAAAAGCATTAATCGACGGACTTAGTGCCTTATCTATGTAAGTGTGCTTGGTCCGAAATCCAGACTGAAAGGCATCCATTATATTATTCTTAGTCAGAAAATCAACAAGTTGATTATGAACACTTTTTCCAAGATCTTGTTCACAAAAGATCATTTTGAAATGGGCCTAAAATGTTTCAAATCCTGTTGATCCAGATTTGCCTTTTTTAAAACTTGTTCAATAGTTGCTTGCTTAAAGCCTAGTGGCACACATCCAAAAAATAAACTACTATTAATAATTCTTAAAACACTAGGGCCAATAGTGTCTATGACTTCTTCAAACAGTCGTGCCGGGAGAACATCATAACAAGAGATAGTTGATTTTAATTGTAGTACTATCAACCGGGCTAAAGAAATATGTTCAAAGTTACTCAAACAGTGAGAAAATATCCTTACATTTACTGTAAGATTTCCTAAAGGCAAAATGTTAGACCGAATAGCATCAATTTGACCAATGAATTACTTTAAAAAACTCTCACAAAGATTCTTATA